CAAGAGAACAAACAAAGGAAATGGGAACGGACAACCGCACAAGCTATATATGAAACATAACGATTTTCATTCACTTACCTTCTTTGATACACAAGGCCTTTGATGCCTCTGGGAAACTGAACCCCTTGCTGTTTGTTTGAGAAACCAGTCCACGGACCGCTCGGAGAATGCCCTGAGAAAAGCGGAACTCCGCTTTACATCTTGGAGTGGCCCGGGAGTCAAAAGGAGACCTTCCCTCCGCAAGTTCAACGCGAAGAAAGTCACGACATGTTCTCATGTTCCACCGAACGCATACTAGACCGAAGCCATCCACCCGCGTATGACACCAACCACCCAAACTTGGGCGGGGCCGCAACAACTCACAAACCATCCAGGATTCCAAAAGCGCCCTGAACGAAGGCGCGAGGAGCAACATGGTGGCAACCCCGGCTGAAGCGCCAGCGAAATGGTCAGGGCGGCCCATGTGGATTTGTCATGATTGTTCTCTAAGTAGGGGACCCGCCCATGTGGGTTTTCCTTTGCTTCCCGTCGGGTCCCTTCACCAAAAGCCAAAAGGGGCACCGACCCCCAAAAACAGACCCACCCGTGTCCGAGCGCAGCTGTGCCGCGCACCCGCTCAAGACCATGGCCTGGCACGCAGTACTTGCTAGGGCTACAACTTGAAGCTACTGTGGATTCCTTGCATACTGCAAGTGAAACAACCACGTCCAACCACAAACTCTGGTAGCCAGCAGCGATTTAGACGGTCTCCCTCATTCCCCACCCTAATATGGAAATATGAAGAAATCAACCGTGGCAGTCTCCCATACCCTTTGCATCATGTGAAAATGTGTTTCACAAATCTAAGGCAGCAGACTTGGCTCAGCAGGGCTCCCAATGACACCCGTGGCACCGGGGCACCTATTGTCCCTTTCTTTGGCGCTTTGCCCTTCAATCCCATCAGAACACCTTTCCAGTTGCACATGAGTGCCAAAGAAGGCGCCAATATTAGCCGGTGCGCAACCTTTTGGGGTGGACACCCAGACACCGGCTGCCTGGAAGGCCTTCACATGTCAGGATCGCTTTGGGCTCGAAATCGGCCAAAATGACAGCCACCATGGCTGCAGGAAGTTAAACGGTAGCAACTGACAGGCCAACCGGCGGCCCGTTGAAGCTGTGTTGCCATGGTTCGGGGCTGGGCGTGCGCCTTGCAGTGATGGATGGATAGACAGAGTTCAAATGGGAAATCACTTGCCATTGCTGGCAATCAGGAAATCAATCAGACCAACATGATGTTCCAATTTGGCACCTGTGCTGCACAGAAAACTCCTTGCTGTAGCCGCGTGTGTTGCTGTGTTTGCAGCCTCCCCCCCACTTGGATCGTCATGAGCACTTCTTCCTGTGACGGGCCGCTGCATTCCAGAATTCCCACCCCACCCCCTCCACACTCACCGCCGGCCCTCTGATAGGCAAATGCCTCTTCCCCTATGCTCTCGGGTCGCCTTTGCCTCATCGTCCCTGGGCAGAACAGGCGCTGTGGAGCGGCCGGTGAACACTCACTCGAGGCAACCTCTGGAAGATACCTCCCAAAAACACAAAGGGCAAAGGCCACCCCACACGCTTAGGTTGGTGGCCCGGGGCTTCCAACGCGCATCACATGAACCTCAGGTGACATTCCCCTCATACACCGCGAGGGAAATCTAGGGGGACCAAAAGAGTTGCTCGCTTCGACGCAGGGCCACAGGCTGTGCCTGTCAGGCGGAGTGTAGTCGTTTCATTCATTTCTGTTAAGTAGGACTTCTCATCCCAGGGCCTAGAAACCTCAAGCCCTGGTTCGCCCAGGGAAGCTGGAACATGCCTTCTTGGGCTGGCTATAATTGTCTCCAGGATCTGTCCCTGGCTGATGGATCGAATCCATCGAAAGTATTGCGAAGAAGCAACATGTGCCAAGGAAGCGAACTCATGATGCACGCTGGCACGGAGAAAAAGAAGTGGGCAACACAATGGCAGGGGCTGCGCACGAAAGAAGCATTATTAGCTTTTCGCCTGCACCTTCTGAATGCGACACGTAGCCTGCCTACATACATGCAACGAAACTACTTGCACATCGCACCTGAGCCAAGAGCCTCCGAACCTCCAACAAACGTTTGTGCCAGCATCATCTTACCCTTGGCTGACGGCTGGCGGCTGGCGGCTTTGGGCTACTTTGGGCTGCGGTCAAGTTTGCCAACTGGGGTAAGCTCGCCACAACCTCTTCCCCGCATCTCAGGGGCCCGGCACGTCGCACAGCCCACCTCCTGGGCATCGGCGAAAAATAACGTAAAGGCGACGCCCTGCCCCATCCACCCACCTACGAGCTGTCAGACAGTCTGATTCAACAATAAAAAATTGGCCTTCCCCAGTTCAGGACCACTTGAATCACGGCTGCAACTCCGAGACAATCCCGGCTGCAATGCTCTAGCTTGCGTCGGTCCCGCAGAGTTGAAGACACAAACATCCCGACATCCGGCGAATCCCGCTGAGGCACAGGCTACTTTGGAGCAGGCCAGCCACCTGGGCATCAAAATGCGCCGATCGCAGCACAATTTGACCGCTGAGTGCGCGCGACATTTCACCGCTGAGCGCGCGGCGCTGGAGGCATCGTCGCAGGAGGGCAAGCGCCCGGCATTCATCTTTGGCCCTGACGCGATGGATCAAGGAAGAGTTTTCGCCGTTTGCCGTCGTTTTCTGTGAAGAATGCCCCATATGTATCACACATGGTCAAGGACAAAGGGAGTATAGGTGTATGTCGTTGTGCTGCTTTTGTTTGTGTTCTGCGTTGTTTGTCGGGCTTTTGCCACTCCACAAAGCGCAAAAATCAGCTTGCATCCATCCCACCCATCTACTTCTGACAGGGGAGGGCCAACCATCCAAAGGGTCAGTCAAGGGCGAGCCACTGGAATCACTGGAAAGGCTACCATTTCAAATTGCACGCGCTGAGCAATGCCCAGCATCAATGAGAACTGATCTCCTGGGAACAACTGTGGGATGCGAAGGGCTTGTGTTTGCGTGTTGCCGTTTCCTTTTTGGTTTTGAAAAAAAAAGACTCCATCAGGTGTCCCAAATCAGAATAAAGTGACGCAGCGGGACGGACGTGCGATGACTTGCCCCCGAAACGACTTGGACATCTCGTGTGACATGCGGCCAAGCCTTCGCCACAGTCGATGCTCCCATCCACCGACTGCTGGTCATCAGCCGGTTTCCCTGCCAGCCCATCAGCTCGTGCAGCAATGCACGCGTATCATTCTCAACGAAGCGGTGAACAGAATCGGACGAGCCGTGCGTCTAAATTCACCCACGTGCACAGGGATCCCCAAAGCAAAACAAAACAAAACAAACAAAGAACACGAAAAAGCATGTGTACATATGTACATATAATATATATATATATATATGCGTGTGTGTGTGTGTGCGTGCATCTATATATACATATATATATATATATATACATGTGTATGTATATGTTCACACACCCCAAACTTTTCTGCCCAGGTTTTTGCCTGGATCATGTCCCGATGTCTCGCCTGGTACCCGCGAGACGGCCGGGGGCAACGGGCCAGCGCCACCTGGCCAGTTTCCAGCGTCCGACAAGCGGCAAGGGGCTTGGGGACGGGTGGCTCGTTTTCTTGGAAAGGCCCCTGCCATTTGGACAAAAGATTCCAAAGCCTCGACTTGGCTGCAACCCCTGCAACTCCAAATCTCAATGATATTTGGCGTTTCGAAAGTAATCCCACCGAGTGCGCTCAATTTGATGCACCTTGATAAGCTATCCAAAAAGAGGCTCGCCATGGTGGAGAGGCATCAATACAGCTGTCTCCGCGCAGCTTCGAGCCCACGGCATTCGCCAGCCGGCAAACACGACGCTCACCCACACCCGGCGAATCTTCTAGAACTTTTTCATGGCCGGACTGGGCAGTGAAGGAAAATTCTGATACCCCCTCCATGCCCCTCCTCCCCCTTCCACCAGAAACCAGCACGCAACGCCCACGACACCACAACAATAGCTTGCCTCCTCTAAAGGCGGCCGGGTCCCGTGGCATCGTGCCGCCGGGGGGCGCACGATGAAGCCACTCCGCTTGATGCCAAAAAAAGCAGCGTAGGAACGGGGTGGCGGCCAAGCAATTGAGCATGGGGGGTTGGCCAGTCCGTTCTTTGACTGTCGTGGATTGGGTGCTCTCTTTTTGTTTGGAGTGGGCTGTCTTCCACGAAATTGGCTTGCGCTCTGGCTTGCTCGGGTTGGGCATGATGCATTTCTCGCACGGTGCGGCCGTAACAATTTCAAGCCCGCAAGGTGTAGATGCAATTTC